TAAGATGAACAGATAAATAAAACGGGGTCTATGCATACAGTGGAAAGGGAGGAGGTTCTGCATATGCTTCAACATGAATGAACCTTGAGAACATGATGCTAAGTAAAATAAACCAGTCACAAAGGACAAATACTGCATGATTCCATTTTTATGAGGCTCCCAGAGTAGTCAAATTCACAGACAGAAAGTAGAACCATGGTTGTTAGGGGCTGGAGGAAGGAGGAATGGGGCATTAGTGTTAATGGATGCAGAATTTCATTTTGGGGAGACTTCGAAAAAAGTTCTGGAGATGGATGGGGTGATAGTTGCACAAGAATATGAATATATTTAATGCCACTGAACTGTACTTAAAAATGGCTGAAGTGGTAAATTTTATGTTATGTATACTTTACTACAATTAAAAGAAGAAAATATAAAAAATAAAAGGTAAAAAACTGTACTGGTTCAATAAACTAAGTTCACATTTAAGGAAGAAAGCATTTCCCAAATCTTGTTCTGTGGCTTATTATTCCTAGGAGATGGGCCTCAAAATGAGGGATTTGAAGTCACTTATTTATTTATTTAATAAATATTTATTGGTCACTGCATTCATGCCAGGCTCTGTTCTAGATGCTGAGGTCTAGGTATAGGCAAGCCTACTGAGGTTTCTGTCTTTATCAATCTGTCAGTTCAGTAGAATAATATTCCCATGTACTAAATACCAAATATATAATAGGAATTTTGCATTATTCCATTTCATCTTCATGAATAAGGAATTATCATCCTTTTATTAAAAATGAGGAAACTAAGGCTCAGAGAGTTTAAGTAACTTTCTCCAAGTTCTCTCAACAAAAACTTGCATCTACTTGATTCCAGAGTCCATTCTCTAATTACTGGTATAAACGCCTTAGGAAATCCAATGCACTTTGCTACGTGAATGTCTGTGACATGTTCAGTAAAGAACCTATTTAAAGAGGGTATGATTCTGCTTATACTAAACTTCATTAAATAATCCCTCCTTTTTTGGGTGAGGGGAGCAGAACCCCTACTAATGTATTGTGGATTCTTTATATAGAATATAACCACAATACCTAAGAGAATTAAAAACATGTCTACACAAAAATGTGTGCGTGAATGTTCATAGCAGCATTATTCATAATACCCAAAACGTGGAAATAACCCAAATGTCCATCAACAGTGAAATGTGGATAGAAAAATGTGGTCTATCTATACAGTATGATATTATTCGGCAATAAAAAAGAAGGAAGGACTGATAGGTGGTACAACATGGATGAACTTTGAAAACATTATGCAAAGTGATAGAAGTCAGATAGAAAGCCCACATTATATGATTCTACTTGTATGCAATATCCAGAATAGGCAAATCCACAGAGACAGAAAGTAGATTCATGGTTGCCTGGGGCTAGGGGAAGAGCAGGAAGGCGAGTGGCTGCTAATGGGTGCAGGAATTCTTACTGGAATGATCAAGTGTTCTGGAATGAGATAGTGGTGATAGTTGTACAACTTTGTGACTATACTAAATGTATAGTTATGAAAACCACTGAATTGTACAAGTTGAAATGGTGAATTTTATGGCATGTGAAATCTTATGTCAATTAAAAAGAGAAGAATGTAATTACAACCAAGCATAGTAGGAACAACATGCCACTGGCTGGCCCACTGGTCCTACGTTTCATAATGTATCATTGGTGGGATATTAGAGTTCCTTGGGGTTGCTGTCCTCCTTCCCTCAATAGATGGAGCCCTCTAAATCCTAAGCAGAGTAACAAAACAGGTACAGAGGAGTGAAAGCAGGCTTGGAAACTGAAGAGCTTCAAAGTGTCTGTGCGGGTGGTATAATACACACGGCTTGGACTTTAAATCTGCTAGATACGCTTAGGTAGCCTATTTTGACAACAGCCCAGAAGGCAAAGCTTCTAAACCTCTTCTCATCACTGGAAGATTTCAACTCCAACAATTGATGATGCCTTGTACTTGGCAGGGAGGTCCCCTTTTATTTGAATGATATCAGATTCACCTAGGATTAAAGGAATTATAAACCAATAAACTGCTGAATTATAGATTTTTGGAAATGAAAAGGATTTTGGAGAGAGTCATCTGGCCTGATTCTCTTATTTTGGATATAGGGAAACTGAGGCCCAGGGGCTTATCCAAGGTCACATAGCCAAGCATGGCTTGGCTGATGCTACTGGTTGTCTTGTAATATCCCTTCTCTTCTTCTTCCCTGGTAATGACCCCCAACCTCCTTCTGGCCAAATGCAATGTAAATTGAAATGGTGTAAACAACTCCAGGGAGATATAAAGATTAGGGGTTAGGGTGGGGCATGACCTTCTTCCTACCTGCTGGCTGGGTTGCAGGTTAGATGGCTAGAATTCAAGCAGCCATCCTCGATCACAACATGGAAGCTGCATTTGGAGAATAGGGAAGCAACAAGATACAATTCTGGGTCACCAAATCAAAGGGATCATAGTCTAACAGGCACAGAAAACAGTATACAAGCTGATGAGGAAGTAACACCACCTCAAGGTCAAATCAACTGCCTTGTCTTGTCCCTGTGACTTCAGATCTTAGAGTATGCTTTATGGAATTGTCATTCCGGTTCTGGAATGTTCTTCTCCAGACTTTATGTGAAAGAGAAATAAGCTTTTATTTTTTCAGCCACTGTTATTTCAATCTTCTATTATTTACATTTGAACTGAATTGTAAATGATTCAGAATGTAAACAATTACATTCTGGGCTGGGATCTTAGGCCTCCTGATTCCAAGTACAGGACTATTTATTATGAAGATTATTACTATTAACAATAAAAGCCAGGCTGTGCTAAGTGTCTTGTCTGTAATAGTTGCTGCTAATTTTTGAGTGCTTACTATATACTAGCCACTGTTTAAGAACCATTAACTCATTTAACTCTCATGTCAGCTCAGTAAGTTAGATCAGTTTCCTTATTTCCATTTTACAGAGAGAGGGCCTGAGGCACAGAGAGAGTGAGTAACTTACCCAAAGGCACTTATTTAGTAAAAGGCAGAGCTGGGATTTGAACCCAGGCAGTCTGGCTCCAGAGACTGCATTCTTTTCTCTTATGATGTGAACTCATCATCTTCTATAACCACATAAACGAGAAGGAAATGGAAGCAGACAATTGCCTAATCATTTGCTTAAAATCTCTCTGCTAGTCACTGATGCAGCTAGCAGTTGAAGCCAGATTCCTAACTCCCAGTTCAATGCTCTCTCACCAGACCACCCTGTAGTCGCAGAGGCCACCTGGACAGATACATACCCCACCACCTTCAGTCTCTCTTCCAATACACACACACACACCACCCAGCAGGCACCAGACATTTTTGTGGCCAGGATGGCTACAGTCTCCTTTGAAAAGCAGCCAGCTTTGCCCTCCACCAAGTAACTTTGCTTTATTTATAGTCTCCTGCTCAGAGCTTTTGAACTGGTTGCTCATTCCAGGGAAGATCTTGATAACAACGGTTCCTTGGAGAGGGTTCATAGGAAACGAGGTGAATAAACCCTACAGAGGCCCTGCCTGTCTAGCAGAGCTTTTCTCCTGGGGGTGTTTATAAGTCAGTGTTGGTGTCTGGGTGCAAAAGACTTTGAATTCAAAATCGCAGTTTGGACATTGGAAAAAAGTCCATCCTTTACCTTCAACAACCTCAGGACATAGGCAAAAGAGAGAACTTATCTCTATCCAGAACTCCAAAAGAAGTTCTTGTTTTCTTTGCTCTCGGCAGAGGACCAGCTACTGTTGTGACTACTGGGTGGGGAGACATTCCATGAATTTGCAAGAGCTAGAGATGCAGAAGGCAAGAAAGGATGAATGGTATTTCAGAACAAAAAATTGTAAAAAAAATTTTAAAAAAGGAAAAGAAAAGACTAATTTCCAAAGTGAACCATGAATCTACAGTGTCTTCTGACTTGTGGCCAAAGGTACCAATCTAAAGCATAACTATATCACATGTGTCTGGAATTATTCAGCCTGGATGCGAGTCTTCAGGCTATCAGTTGCTAGTTACATAACCTTGAGCACATCCATCAGTTTCCTGTTTGTGAAATGGGGGGGATAAACTCACTAGATTATTATGAGGATTGGTGCTAACCACCTAGGGGTAATACAGGACCTGGTTCAGAGAGGACACTCACTCACCCACTCATGTAACGGCAGCTAATGGTAATCGCCATTGTTTGCTTTGTGGTTCCTCCAGGCCTTAATGGAATGACTTCGTGATGTTCATGAAAGTTGAGAGCCTAGGAGGTGCAGTGTTGGGTAGCTGGTTGGTCATCTTGCTTTCAAAATGCATTTGTTTGTGTTTAGTTCTCTCTGTTGGGGACTTGCTATGGTGACATGAGTTTTCTGTATTGGAGCCCCCAAAATGGCTGCTGATAAAGGGAGGCAGAGGTCCTCAAGGGTGGGGCAGAGCAGTGCCACTAAATGGTTTTTTTGAAACCCCCAGGTAGCTTTCCCGGGTTTGTGAGGTCTCCTTAAAGGTCTAAGGGAATAGGAAGGGGCCTCCATCAAGGCCCATGTTGGAGGAGCGGATGGTGTGATAGAGAAAAGGGTCTGTGCCTCCCTTAAGGAACTTACTGTATAAAAAGCGATTTAAAAAGGGAAAATTTGTGTTTTCATGGAGCCTGAGTGGGGGATTACCTCCGCATCACAGCTACTTAGAAGAGATAGTTCCTTTGGGGAAGAACGGGTGAAGGCTTCTTCAGGTGACCTCAGGGTCTCCATGGGATGAGGGTCTTTCCCGGGGTTGTTGGTAGAGGTTTTATGGGCGCGGAGTGCGGGGGAGGTCTTTTGGGGCCTCGGGACACTGGGCGCAGAGCTCTGCAGACCAGCCGGCTGGAGCGCCGTTCCGCCCCCACCGCCCTCAGGCCGCCCGCCTCCCGCCAGCCGACTACACTTCCCGGCAGCCCCCGCGGGCGGCGGCGGCGGCGGCGGCAGCGCGGGCGGGAGGGGGCGGCGGTGTGAGAGGCGGAGGGGGCGGTGCTCACCGGGTACGCGCGCCGGCGACCATGGCGTTCGCCGGGCTGGGGAGAGTACATTAAACCCCGGGGACGGCGGCCGCGACGACGACGACGAGGAGGGAGCGAGCCTCGAGCGGGCGGGCCCAACCAGAGGAAAGGGAGGAAGGGGCGGGGAGATCGCCGGAGGGAGGCTGGTCAGCCGCGGGCGGGCGGGCAGCGCAGCGCCGAGAGGGGCCCGCGGGCCCATGAGGAGGCCTGGGGACCATGGGCTCCAGGATCAAGTGAGTGCGGCGGGGCCGGGCTCGGGGCGGCGAGGCCGGGCAAAGGCTGCAGGCCGCGGGCTGCGCGGGGGACTTGTTGCCGGGACCTGAGGGGTGCCCCCGCGTGCCGGCGTCACGCGCGGAGGGGGACGGTTGCCATGGCAATCCAGGCAGGCGCGGGGGCGGGGTGCGCGTGAGGTGGAAGGGCGCCGGCGGGCAGGTGTACCCTCCTCACCTGAGGGCGGGAGCAGCCAAGATTACTAGGTGGCCTTCTCACCGGGGTTACAGAGAGCCTCTGAAAATGGTCACATAACTGTTGGGGGGAGGGTGAGAAATCTCCGGAAGTGGGTCCCCAGTTGGTTGTGTTTGGGGCTCCCCTGCGTGTTGGGCAGGTTCTGAAAGGTTGCAGCCTGCCTACTTAAGGTTTGCGACCCCTATGAAAGTCGCGTGAGGTTCCAGAGGGAGGGGCTGCTCATGGCCTTAAGGTCTGGATGGCCTGGGGAGGAAGGCTCATTTCTCCTCCAGTTTTCCCGGCTTATCTCTGAAAGGCTCCGCACTGCAAGGGCCAAAGGCTGTGAAGGAAGACATCTCTGGCATGTAATAGAGCACCTGATCTTGATAATTGTTGGAAAGGCTTTGTAATCCAATCTGGCAGATTCTCTCATTCATTCACCTGGAGTCCCCTGTGTGGGGTTAGTTTTCCTCGGGGACATTGTTAATACATCTAACTTCAAAACCTATTGAAACATAGTTGTCCTCCTTCTAGAGCTAGAAGTTGACTTTGGAAAGTGCAACTTTTATGCAGTCCAATTTGGGTGTGTTGCGTTGGACTCTATCTCCCCTCCCAGCCAGGACCTCTTTTGGCCTCTCCCTTCCTCAGCTTCAGAACATGAGATGCCTTATCTCTAATCACTAACAAATGTTCACTTTTTCTCTATGAGTAATAGAATTGTTTGAGGACACTTAAAAACAAAGTCGACAGCATAGGCTTTTCCTTAAACAGCCTTCACAGGACATTTTTAAACCGGATTACAATAAAGTCTGTGGAATGTGTTTATTTTAGCATTCTGAGAATTATGCTAGGGAAGTTTGAAAGGGAAGGGGCCTTGAGGGCAAACTCTAATAATTATTCAAATAATTGCATTTCATGCCCATTCAGTGTGACCCTTGCCCAGCCTTATAGTCTCCTGACTGGCTTAGGCTTCCCACTTGCAAAATGTGGTTAATACATACTGCCCCAGTCCTGAGACATCCACTAGATGAAACTAGAAAAGTTTGCCTATTATTATAATGAACATGGAAGGGTTGGATGAGTACACCATTATTTCTTGATTTTTGTGGAAATGAGGTGAAAAAGTTAGAAGCATGCTCCAAACAAGAGTTTAAGAGGCTTGGGAAGTAAAAAGACAGAGTTCCTGAGTCAGTGGGATTAAAGAGGCACTCGAAGTATAGCTCATGTTTCCAAGTAAGAGTTGTAAGCTTGGATTTCAGTAGCACTTAGAAACACTTTCCAGAAGCCACCTTAGCGTCACAGAGTATGATTGTGAGGATGCTTACCTCTTGTTACCAAGAAGTTCAGAAATTTGCCTTACGTGAGGCAGGCAGTGTCAGAACTAGCATGAAAATCCAAGTAGAAGTTCAGGTGCTTAGTCATCATCAGGTCTCTGTCTTGCTCTCGAAGGTCACAGGTAGACAAATACATTCCTCAAGTGTGTTTTGTGGAAACTATCACTGTAATATCTGAGCACTTGGGCAAAAGAACTCAGTAAGGCATGAAATAAGCATGAACTTAGTATAAAGAATAGCCTTGTTGATCTTAAAACTAGACTGCTCTGTGATAAAAACTTAGGCTTGGAAATATGTTAGCTTTACTTGTGGTGAGACTGAAAGAATATGAAGGGAAAAGTTATGAGAAGTGATTTATGGTGACTGTTGCCTAAGCAACTTCTGTCTGCACATAGTAATGGGGACACACAGGTGGCATGGAAACCATCTGCTTAAGTGCTGCCTTAGTTGTTGGAGGAAACAGCTTTGATCACTACTGACCGTTCTACCCTGACAGGGAAGAGCAATATTAGGTGTTGAGCGGGCTGAGTTGAAATCTAAGTGTGCAGGCTCAGTTGTCTTGGGTGCTGGGGACAGGGAGCACTGTGGGGCCCCTCTGCTTGGCTGCCAGTATTTTCTCTTGCTTATCTCTGATGGCTGTGTGGCCCAGTCAGGCTGAATGAGGTGGAATAAGATCTGGGTTCCAATTCCAGCTCTTTTGTCTACTGACTATGAAACTTTATACAATACATTTCAAGTAATAGAGAAGAAAGTTTTGATGATCAAGGAATTAGACTGTTAATGTGAATGAAGAGCAGTACTTAACATTCTCTCCTTAAAAAAATAAGCGATTAAAAACATACTCTCTGTAATTGGGAAGTTGGTGTCTGTTGTATGATCAGTAATAAAGCAGTTGAGTGACTAAGTGCACAGGTGTTGAGTTTAGTGCCTGATCAGACTTTCCTTCCAAGCTAAGGCTGGTTGAGTACAATCTTTGTGTCAGCCACAGTGGTAATGCTTTATGTAAACCATTTCATCAAATCGTAACAACTGTCCAATGATGTAGGTACTTTTAACCACGTTTTAAAAATGAGAGATAGGGAGTTTATAGGCCAAAGATCAGGTGCTATCTCCAGGAAGCCTGTCCTGGTGTCAGTTCCCCACTCCCCAACTCTGCCCCAGCCAGGCCAGGTACCCCTCTTCTGTTCATTCTCTCCCCAGTCTAGGCCAGCTCTCTCTTTGTTTCTGTGGCTCCTTGTGTTGATCACTCATAACACTAAATGCAGTTCCTTGACTCCCATTCTAAGCCAGACATAAACTTCTTAAGAGCAGACACTGTCTTGTCTTCGAGTCCCTGTGTCAAACCCAGTACCTGACACACAAAGGTGTTTAGGAAAAGTTTATGAAATGCATTTAAGAAGTGTGTTAGGATCTGAATTAAGGTGTTTTTTTTTTTTACAAGTTTTTAAACTTTTGAGGTGGACGGTTGTTCCTATTTTTTTTTCCTAAAGGGTATTTACTTCATGTTCATTTTAATAAAGGAACATTGTCTTGCCTCAAACCAAACATCTACTTGACAAAGGAAAGAAAAAGTCACCGCTATGCAAGTAGCACCCTGGAAAGCTCCTAAACCTTAAGCCTGAGTAGACATTTATCTAGAGGGCTACAAGGAGTCATTGTAGCTGGCAATCTTGGACAGGTATGTTTAAATCTTATTTAGGGTTTAAGTGATCCCAGCAGACTAGAATGTGGTTAATATGAAGCAATTTAACTGATAATGCAGACACACAGCAGGAAACTGTGTGGCAGTTTAATATTGCTTGTGGTGACATTCTAGAAATTGTTTCCAGGCACCAAGGGCAGGAAATGGATTGTAAGTAATGAAAGGAAGTGTTCTAAGTGAGATTGAAGAAACCTGACATTTATCGATTTGGAGAAAAGCTAAGATTTGAAGGCATAGGGACAGGACAGGGTGGCTGATTTGGCCTTGTGGTGGTGGTCATTCTGCATTAGCCTGTATACCTGTCTTCTGTCCCTGTCAGACTGTGACCAAGAAATATAGTCATTCACTTATTTACCATTGAACTAAGGAGAGTGTGAAGAACATATTAAGCACTCAGTAAATGCTAGTCATTATTGTTACCATAATTAGTAGTAGTACTATGTTACATATCTGTTAGTGTGCTGAATACAAGGGACACAAAAATGAAAAGATTTTTCTTCGCTTTAAGGCTTTCCCAAGTAGTAATGAGACAGAAATGCAAAAGAAAACCAACTCCCTCCAGGGCCTCTCCCCACCAAAAAAAAACTGAGTCTAGTACAGTAAGGTTATTGCTATGGTGGAGATGCAGCCAGTGATGAGTAGGTGAACAAATGAAGGAAAGACTGTCTTCCAAGGAGGGCTCAAGGAAGGAAAGCTTCATTACAAAGGCGATGTTTTAGTTGACACAGGAGAAATGAATAAGTTTGAAAGGGGTAGAGTAGTGGTAGAGGGAGTAGAGGCTGTGGGGATCGCAGTGGCAATCGTGATGATGGTGGCAGTGATAGTAGTCTTAATAGAGTGAGCAGTAGGTGTGAAGATGTGGCGTATTAGGGAAATAAAAATACTAACTACCGTTTATTAGGCACTTAAATGCCAGGAATTATGTAGACATGAATTTTCATGGTGAATAGAACACACATATTCATTCCTACTTTCATGGAGCTTACAGTCCGGGGGCCTGGCAGACTGAGAAAAAGCGAATCAGTTCTTGTGAAAGCTATGTGGATGTGCTTTAAGGGAAACAAACCGATGCTGAGAGAATGAGGGGAGCAGCTGTCGTATTTTAGAGTGGTGAAGAAGGCTTATTGTAGAGCTGACATTTGAGCTGAGACTTAAAGGATGAGAAGGCATTAGTCACTTGGAGACTGGGCAAGGCTCCTCATTCTTGGCAGAGAGTAGAACACATACAAGGGCTCTGAGGTAAGAACACCCTAGCTGTGTATTTCAGGATCAGATAGAAGGCCAGTGGATTTGAGTCATAATTGACAGCAGAGAGGCTTGAGGTAAGGTCAGAGAAAGAGACTGGGGCCCGAGCAGGGACTCGAAGGCTGTGGTAATCTGAACACAACTTTAAGATGTAATTCACATCAAACTTTGTATCTGTAAAATTACATTTTTTTAGAGTATAGGTAAATGGCTTTTAGTATACTCACAAAAATGTGATCGATACTGCTATCCAATTCCAAAACATTTTCCTCACCTCAGGAAAAAACCCCATACCCATTAGCAGTCACTCCCCAGTCTTCCACAGACCCTTGCCCAAAGGAATCAGTAATCTACTTACAGCTGCTGTAGATTTTTCTATTTTGGGCATTTCATGTAAATGGAATCATAATATATATAATCCTATGTCTTTCGCTTAACAGAATAATTCCAAAGTTTATCATATACATATATGAGTATTTCATTACGTTTTATTGCTGAGTAATATTTC